GCAGACAAAGACAGATAAAAGGAGAGGTCTGGCAGTAAATATAGATCTTTGTTAGCTGTTGTATCTCTGGCCTGAGGAAAACGATGACGTCTCAGCATCACATTCCTCTGTGTATTCCCTGGGACTTTACAGTGAGGAATAAAAGGTGAGAGATAACCCGTGACCTGATGTGTGCATTTTTTGTGAGTTATTTTAAAAAGTCCAGGAAGAGGATGCATGACCAACGCCCAGACACAGTCATTCAGTGACCTGCAGCTGCAAAGCATTCATTCACCGAGGAGACTGGAAGTGGAAATCTCAGTCACTCTTATTCAGGGCAAAGGTTTGAAACTGAAAGAAAAGTTTAGGGGAATTAAAAACGTCTTAATAGGTTCTTAAGTTACATTAGCAGCATTGTAACTTTGGAGCTTAGAGTATTAACYTTCCCTGCTGAGACACTGTCACATCAAAGTTAAAGTTTGGTTTTTAGTTGTAGGTTTTCACAACTTTCTGCACACTAAATACTGTATATTCAGKACTATTTTAGTAAAAATAGTGCAGTTTTTATTTGTATTTCTAAATCTCACGTTTTTCTTTACTTTCTTGCAGGAGATTCAGTCACTTGTAGATTCTTGTTGTGTGAACTTGATTCCAGGTTTTTCTTGTTTGTGTTATRTTGATTTTGGAATCATTTAAAACTTACGTATAAAATATATGCCACTTATTACAAAAGATTGATTTAAAGCAATGATAATAAGTACAGTATTCCATAAGTTGTATATTCATCCACTGATCAACTTGCATATATAAATGTAATTTTTGTTATGCTATGCGGTCATAAAGATGAGTTTAGTTATGATACAATCATATTTTTTTCTCCATGCAGTCTGTGCTGATTTAAGTCCCTGGCCTAAACAATTAGATAAATTGCTTCCATCCTCCCTGTAGAGCTCCAGTTTGCACAGATTAAATGTGGAGTGCAGTTATCAGAGCGTTTTTTAAAAAATAGCCTGCTGTTGATGAAAATCACGAAGCTGAGTATGGAGACAAAAGTAGTGCAACAACCTGCTCATGGTGCTAGTTTGGAGTGTTCTGGTTTAGTAACATCCTGTTTTGTTTTGTATTCTGTTTTTTTTTTTTTTGTTTGTTTGTTTTTTGGTGGAACATTCTGCTGAGTTTTTCTTTTTCTGCTTTACTACTTTGGTTTTCTTGTTCTGTTTGTTCACGCAGCTGTARTTTCTGCTCTTTTTACGCACTGATTCTGTGTCAGTAATTAAAMTTTTGCCAGTTTATGTGTCACTTATTTTCATCGAGAAGCTGCTTAGAATTATACAACCCAAATTTTGAAAAAGTTCAGAGAATTAAAAAGCCCCCAAAACAGGCATGTTAAGTTTATCTGTAACTAAATGGTCCTTAAGTGTGAGTGAGAGAGTAGTTGTTTGTTTAAAAAAAATAAGTACAGTATGTCCTCTGGATGGGTTATTCTGTAATGAAACGTTTCCTCTCTSCTCCAAGAGACTTCTTCAGTCTGAGGAGGTAAACCCAGCATTTTAAGCAGTGCCTCCACATGGTGGACAAACAAGCTTTAACAATGACAATTAAAACTGATAATTCCCCTAACAGGGATGAGAACATCTTCATCCCTGAAAGAGTGACCGCTGTCCTGTAGATGAGTGTAAACTGTAGAGTCCTGGCCTGTAGATGAGTGTAAACTGCAGAGTCCTGGCCTGATGATGTAGCTCTTCTGTGTTGGCCCATTCTTTTGAACAGTGGCTGCTTTGTTTCCCCAAAGTATAACTGGACTTAATAAGATTTAATTTTAACCCAGGTGTCATCAACACCCGAACCAAATGGCTCAGTGGTGTCAATGAAAAGGACATCAAAGCTTTCTTTTCTACCTCCTTCATGTAAAGGTTTGCAACAATTTGAGAAACTGAGGATCGCATAGCACACCCATGTTTCTGCCTGTAATATTGCTCCCCATATGTGAAGAAACAGCTGGAGGAGCATTTAGGAGCAAATTAGGTTAATTGGCAACTGATCAATGACCAGACTAGCAATGAAAAAAGCATTTTAATGAAGTTGTTTCAGCACAGTTCAAAAGTCTGTATCGGTGATGGTATGGGGATGCATTCGTGCATGTTGCATGGACAGCTTACAAATCTTGAAAAACACCATCAATGCATCAACACATTGCATATGTTTACTATGCTGCACTGTGAAAAAATATGAGTTTGTGACTTTTTTTTACATTTTACTCAATATCTCAACTATAACTGAATTAGAGATGCTAAAATTCACATCTACTGTTAAAAAAATGTTCTGAACTCATAGCAATAGTCCACCTAAAACCCATTTTTCTCCAGAGATTTACTTTAATAACTCGTAATGGCTGTACGCTGCTTGCAACYAGACTCCATGTGAGGTCAGAAATCCTCTCATGTCCATCTGGCCTGTGTTTGTCACTGGATATGCCGTCCTGTTTCGGGCCACTCCACTGTCTTGGCGGGAGAGCTGGAAGAGTTGCGAGTCAGCACACTCCTCCCGTTACAAAACACACACACTACAGCTGAACAACCTTGCTGATTCTGAATGTCATGCAGACTGCAGGAGATAGTGACTCTCTCACATACAGTACATGCAGTGTGTCTCATTTTCAGTCTGAGCTGCAGGCTTGTAAACACTGAACTAAGCCTTGGCTGGAGCTGATCTGTGACTTCAGCAGCAGGAGTTGACTTGGAGTGGAAAGAATGTTCACCCCCGTGGCCCTGCGGAGTTGATATTGTCTTTGATGTTGTTAAAGTGATCAAAGGCTATGCTATTTTCACCCGTGAAAGTTCATTTATCAGCTGCAGACTTGCTTCGCAGTTAAAATCATAAAGTGTGGGTGGCATTGCATTAAAAGGACCAAACTCATTCCTGTGCTTTATTGTGCTCAGTGATGTAAAGAATAATCCTAGCAGCTGATTGCTGTTCAGCTGACATAAACACTTCACAGTACTTTAGTGGTACAGAAGTTCTGTTATGCTTTATATTCTAAAAAGGTCTGCTAGGCTTTCTTATCCTACAAAAAAAAAAATACATTTCCTTGCCCGCTGTAAACAGTGTAATAAAATGATCTGACTTTAGCATCAAAGCGGGTAAAGAAAATGCATGGGTGGATGAGTGGATAACTTGGCAAAATCTCAAACTTTTGAAAAGAAAATGCAAAAATTAAACATTTTACGTCTTTAATGAAAACCAAATTATGTTTTTATTACTTACAGCACCTTCCTAAAATAATTGCTTAAGTCATTTTTAGCCCCAAAAAAAAAATAAATATATTAAATAAAACTGTGAATCTATTTTGACAAAATAACTTATTAACCGAATCGTTTTAAATGTCACTGTTTCAATCCTACTTTTTTGCACATTGGTCATCACTATTTTGGTTCCAGCTAAACTGTCTCTGAGTTCTTCTCAGTGAACCCAGACTCTGCCCTCTGCAGACCGACCTCCTCCTCTGCTCTGTCTGTGCTGCTGAGCATCTAATCTAAAAATTAGCCCTCAGCAGGGCTGAACACTTCCAAAGCTTGCAGTGACTGACTACTTTTCGAACTCATTAGTTATTATAATTTCCTTTGATATTGCCCTCCCTGAAAAATCATGATTTTATTTATTCACCCAGCAATATTAATGTTTTCTGCCCAATTCACACTAAGATAATAAACAATAGCAGTGTCTAGCAAGGTGAAAATGGCAGTTCTGTTAAAGGTTATTAATGGATCACTTACAGGTTTGTGTGTGTGTGTGTGTGTGTGTGTGTGTGTGTGTGTG